ACGACGGCGGACAATCACTCATATGATAAGCTCCGCTCGACAAAGTCGACAGCGGAGCTAATAAATATTTAATTATAATTTGGATATCACTGTATATTAAAATGTATTGATGCATACAAGATGTGAACTTACCTCTTTGACATTCTGTAAGGAGTCTGGAGTGATGGTGAAAGGAACTTGTTTAATTACTGCTTTCTCTTGTTGATTTTTATATTCTACAATAAACTCACAATTTTTATTCAAATCTTTACTCAATACTGATCTTTTCATTTCAACTTTGACGGTATACTGTAAAAAAAATGCTTGAATTACTGACTGACTTGTACAGAATGGCTGTACTGACTGACTATTGGCAAGTGTAAAAGTAACTGATATAAATTACTGTAAAATCTGTACTAGAAACCGCGGCTTCTATTAAAATGGTACAATGCAACAGAGGGAATGTGGCTTCTATTAGAACATCTACACATATGAGAAATGATGAATTTTTGGTTCTCAATTGTTCAACAAGAATGGATGTGACTTCTGTTAGAGATGCGGCTTTTAATACAGATTTTACGGTACCGATTATTTAAAGTTGAATATTTTTACCTGAACATTGACAAAGACACCATGATATGTCTCGTATAGTACTTTGTTTCCTTTTGGTTTCAAAGGTAATTCAAATGGAATCTCGGTTTTACCGGCCGATAGTCTACCTGGTTTTGATACTTCTACAGCATAATGCAGTAACTGGATAGGCTGTAAAATATCAAAACATAATTCACTACAAACATAGATGGGTGGTACACAATGATATTATCATATGAGCAACTGTATTATCACATCAGCCACTGTATTTTTGTCTTCTATTTATTTTTTATTATTTGCAGTAATATTATGAGGTTATTACAAGGATACCTCAAAGTATGCACAAAGAAAGTACAGCGGGTGTATTGACCAATGCACAGCGGAGGTCGATGCGATGGTGTACTGTCTGAGTGCATACTTTGAGGTATCGTCGTAATAACCTTATTATTTTATATCTTTTCCTTCCTAGGATACATCATGGGATTGTCGAAACCCAAAATGTTTAGAACAGAATCAGCAAACTTCTTTGTGTGGAGTCTGGTCAAACCTTGTTGGCAGTCATGTTTGTTTTTATTATTAGAGGACGACTACGTGCGTAATCATTCCATATTTGAAATTCACATTTACTAATATGGTAGGATGAAAATACCCCGTAAAATACCGCAAAATTACGGCACGCTGTAACTCATGGCGTTGCAGTGACAGATGTACATGTATAATAATGTTCATTATTCAATTCAAACTGAAAGGATATTTTATGACTTCATTTTTATTTTTGACCTGGAGACATCCCAAAATCCAAACTTTTTTTTTGCAAGCTTGCCATTGACTACTTATAAACAACAATACTACTACAATAAACATGATCATTATTGATACTACCAATGAAATTAATTTTTCCAGCATATGATAAGCAACACACTTATATTAAAACATAGTTAAACTCTGGTGACCTTGCCCTTTGTTATATAATATAATTCCCTTTATCATAGTTTGTTTCAATATAAATATGCATTGTCATAATTAATTTTGAATACAAACAAGTTTTGGGGTTGAACCAACAGTGGGGAATCAGTCTACCGAATGTCCTTAAAAGATGTAAATATCTTACAAAAACATTGGTGCCTTATTTGTTTAATTATTTTAAGGAACATAATTTCCAGCTTTATTCAAAGTAATTCAGATATTTTAGAATAAAAACAAATGTCTTATTGCAAAAAAAAAGTGCTGCATTTAGATGTGAATAGATTTATAAAACGTGCAAGATAACAGAAAAATTTAGTGGTTTTAGTCCAAGTATTTTGTACAGG